AATAAAAAAAAAAATTTTGAATTTACTTACTTGTAGCCAGAGTTAGAGGCGGTCAGATACTTATGACCGCTACTGTACTCCAACCACTTATTAATGATATTCAGAATTTCGAACGTGGATACGAATTGAAAATCAGTAATCAAACTGTGTGGATTACTAGTGGATTAGGTGTCATTACTAGTGACTTACTGGAAGGTAATGAACAGGCGGGAGTAAAGAATCACAATACATATCATAAATGCCGTAACTGTATGATTCATTATAGTGAATTGGATAATGTTAGTTTTAACACTGCGAGATATAGTCGTTACCATCACAAAACCACATTGCAATTTTCTACCATAAGGAGAGTTCAGACTCAAGCACAACGTGATGCACTTGCTATGCAATACGGTATATGAGAAAAACCCCTGTCTTTGATAACGTTATGCGTGATCGTCATCTTCAATGTCCGCATGATGCTTTTCATTGCATAGGTGATCTTGTCAAAGAAATGCTTCAATCAACATTTGAAATCTTATCTTCAAAAGGAGAGACTGAATTTTTGAAAGTTTGACACGACTTCGAATTTCCTCTATATTGGTCTCGATAACAAAATCCAATTACCCATTTAGGCTCATACTTTTTTTCTGATTATTTTCGTCTAAATATAATTATGTCATTTCTCATTAATCAGGCATTACATATTACGATGCTAAATAAAATATTTGTCGAATATGTGATTGAGACATGCACAATAACGAAAAGTCAGGTTCTGAATAAATTGTTAGGTTTATGGGTTTATTTCTCTCAGATGGTGTCTCTGACGTTTCACAAAGAATTTTCTGATATTGATTATAACAATCTTCAACAAAGTATAATACTATAGTGTAGACTGGTTGCGAAGGTAATCGAAAATTTAATATTGATAGTTTGGTTAGTATGTTTCGGACAATTTAACCTTTTTTTCAGGTTTTTCCCAATATTAGTCGATTACCGAATTTTCATATATTACGCCATTTTATTATGCATACACGGAATTTTACGATTTTAGTGAATATTTCAGTTGCTATAAAGGAAATGGTGCATAGACTTTTCAAGGCTATTATCTCTTATTCAAATAAAAAAAATATAGAATTGGATTTTATGCGCTGTGATAATTGTTTACAAGTATTACAGTTTCTAATGGATGGTGGTATTGACAAAAGATATGATAAGATAACATACTTTAATTTCAGCACATTGTCAAAGGATCGATGTGTACGTATGCTGCTTGATTCATGGTACATTTCGCCATCAATAATAGATTCGGAGCAGAAAGAGATATATAATATAACCTGCATGGATGAAAATTTTATCAATATAAGAGTTTGAGGAACATATAACAAGAATGACCTACAGACTGCTGGCTTTGAGAAAGTTCTTAATGATGATTTATTTGCCGAACTTAGACACGCATATAAAGAAGAACTTGGTTGTGTTGAACATCTTACATCACAAACTGTAAAATATTTTAATAGTATTAGTTATACTATAGTTGATAATGATGATTGAGTAGATGTGAACCTTCGTGTTGGTGATACTGTGGATGTTTTAGAAGATATATCAAATGATACATTGAATAATCCA